CCGTAGTGCTACGGCTCAACGAGAGAGCCAAGTGAATTACATAACCATCTTACTAATATTATAAATGCGAAACTTTGTATGGATGTCTGGATGTCAACATGTTTGTTACTCTTTCACGCAACTACTGAACGGATTTTGATGAAACTTTACAGTATTGTTTTTTATAACCCATAATAACATATAGGCTATAATTTATGACGATCTGTGACAAGATAAATTTCACGCGGGTGAAGCCGCGGGCAAAAGCCAGTACACAATAAATTAATCACAAGTAGATTGAAGTAGAAAGTAATTTAAAAACATATTAAGAAAGTACAGGTGATTTGTTTTCTAAGCGAAGTAAGTAGTAGGTAAGGATTAATGGAAGATGTGGAAGATGAATTTGGTTAATAGGATCAGTAGAAAGATTTAGGGAGACGGATGAAAATAAGGAACCCATAATACGCGACTTCGACTCACACTTAGCCAGTTTTTTATTTAAAAGTTCGGAAAGAAATAATAATTCTAATTCGAATATACCCACGGTTCCCAGAAGATACGCTCATTAGAGAAGGTAAAAAATGCGGGCTTTTGGGATTTCTTCTAAATAATTCTAAGAAATTATAAGACATTTAAGGCAATTTCCATTTGTTATAACTTTTGTCTGAAAAAAATATTCACATATTAATATTTTCTATTAAAAATCTGTCATTCTGCTGACCCACAATTTATTACGAGTACGTAGGTTGAAAACCGACAAGTAAAAGGTAGGTTCAAGCAGTTCAAGTCGCACTTGAGGAAATAGTTTTTCAAGTGAGGATTCTTGTGTGGTAACAAACAAAAAGAGTACAAACTGGAAAACCTGATTGAATGCTGGGGTGCACCATCTTACTTTAACTATTTCAAACGTTACAAATCTGTCAATCTCTTACGCCCGTATTCACAAACGATGCTTGCTTAAGTGATCACAGACAGAGTTGAATTACAGCTCTGTGATTGGTTCGTGTGTCATCTTGTGCGTCCACGCGCACTGTGAGACCTCATAGTAATGTTTGCGAATACGGGCATTACAGTTAAAGTTAGGTGATACAACTCAGCCTTTATTAGCAAGTTAATTTCTAACGCGGTTTCGATAACATTCATTCTCAAATACTTTCCATAGTAAACGTTGTGTTAATAAGCACTGCGTTTAGTGTTGTTATAAGAGTAGCAGCACTAAAAGACGTTCTCTTTACTGGATTTACTTAAACCTAAGCCTCGCAAGCGACCACAGACACTTTTATCGACGAGGGAAGCGAAGTGCTCTCAACAACTATTGCATGGCGCGAACTCGCTCGATGCAACTAAAAGAGTTTCCGTGAAAGCATTTAACTTTTTAAACACATTGCTGGAGTTTGAATTGGTGTCTTGTATATATATTGGACTTATTCTAGTAACGTTGGATAGTGTGGCAATTTTAAATTAACTCGAGAGTATAATTAGAAATACAAATAATATAGGTATACACTAGAATTTTCAATTGAATTTTGATTGATATTAACAAAGTTGTAGGTAAAAACTATGTAGAGTCAGCATTAAATAGTTCGTGACACCTAAAGTAGCCAAAAAGGTCGCAACACTTTTTGGCTACTTTGGGTGTCACGAATTATTTGACGCTGACTGTACCTATGTATAAAACGGTCGAATTTGTTAGCTTTTTTTGACACTGATTCACAAGAAGAAAGAAAATTAATTGGGGATAAAATAAGGAGAACAAAGTCAGAATATATTTAAACAGTATTTCATAATATCTGAGGTAATTATGCGCAATTAAAATTAAATAATAACAAAAATCAATGAAATAGGTATTTTAGTTAACTTGTTTAATGAGATAGTAAACATCATTATTTCATACTGTCATACAATCGTCATGCTGACCAACCAACGTCTTAGCCTACATTATTATTATTATTGCAACTTATGGTAACCTGACTTGAAGCAATAATCTTATATACATACAAATCCGTAATTTACAATAAATATCTTAGTCTAATATTTAATGTCAACAATTTTATTTACAATAGAACAACCAAGGTTTTATTAAACCTTCTAGTAACGAAGCCTTTAGAGCCAATATTTAAAATTCAAGAACTGAATGAATCCATGATAAAATGCTTTGCAATTTTGTTTAAAAATATTTTGAAATAACTTGTTGAAAAATGGAAATGTATTTTCTCACAAATTGATTACCTACAAACTTTTATAAAGTCTGAACTGCAGATTATTTATTTTACTTCAGCTTAATAACCTGAAATTATATAATACATATATTTCAAGTCTCATTACTAATATTTTACTCTTAACTTATCAGTTACGTAGACTTCCCGTAACTTCAAAATAATGTATGACTCAAATCAACAACTTATCATAGCGCTTTACAACAGTTTAAAGTTTAACCGAACGCAAACTATGCGGTGCAGCGATGATTTATCTTTGCAACTAAAAACTTGTGTGTTTTGAGGGAGACATTCCAGCCGCCGCCGAAAGTTTGCGGCAAAAACTTTTACCGCGAATGGTTTTAGAGTATAGGAATAGCGCGTTCGCGTAAAGCATTTGATTTAAAATCCTCAAAATAATGATCGTAAATCTTAAACTTTTAACTAGAACTTGGACTGTATAAATGTTCAGAATGAAATTATTAACTGCGTGGGCGGATGTCAATTAGGCACAGTCAGGGTCAAATATTTCGTGACACCCAAGATGGCCAAACAGTTGACAACTCTACCTTATTCTAATGGATAATTTGACACAATTCTCCAATCTTCTTAAAAACTTAATTAATTTTAAATAACTTGTAAATTACGATTTTTGGTCGCATTGTAATTGAAAAAAGTAGTTTATTTGAGTTCACAAAATAGTGACTTCACTTGCTTGTAGTGCCATACAAAATCTATGGGAGAGATTCGTTTTGACAGTTTTAAAAAGTACATCAATTGATTGGTGGTGTCAACATGTCTATTGCAATGTAACAATGACGTGTTGCGGACTTTTTGGCAACTCTGTCACGAATTATTTTACTCTAACTGTACCTATTATAACTTCAAATCTCGTTAACAAAATGGCCACGTAATGACATCGTTTTGCTATCTCATTAGCGTTTGTTTCTCGACTGTAACCTTCGATTTCACAGTACATCTGCTCTTCTCGCTTGTAATAGACTGAATGAGTTGTTGTTACTTATCAACAACTTGGTGAACAATGTCTTAGTTCAGCACAGTCTGCCTAATTGTACTCACGTAGAAGTCTCTAAAACAAAAGAGCTTTTGTCTTTTGTATTAAGCTTTGTGAGTACCATTTATGAGTTAATAATAATAGTTATTTCAACTGAATTCGCTTGCAAAACCTCTGAAACAAGATGACATAGTTTAATAAATAAAAATGCAATAACAGTGTAACATGTTAAATAAAACATTACTCAAATACAATGAATAGTCTCAAAGGGAGTTTGATTGTTTTTTTTTTGTGAATTCTGTACGAATTGTAAATTGTATCAATTGTACTGGTAAATGGTTTTTGAGTGCAGTTATTTTATTGGTAGCGGTGGTTGAATTGGTTCCATCATATTTTGAACTTTATTGAAATGAAAAAAGCTTCAAAATGATATAGAATAGTATTCGTACTGTAAAATAATATTTTCGGTGCTCTTTTATTCCGAAAAACAATTGTAACAGTTATTTGCCGCGTTTTGAAACAAACTGACAAATAGCACCTTTAAATTTTATCATAAAAGTTTTACTACATACAATCAATTATCGTGTTCAGCATGAAAAACAAGACAAGCTTGTGCGTAAAAATAAATACAAAAATTAAAAAACAAATAATACTTTCAGTAAAAGCTCACCGTCAGTCAAAGTTAAAGTCCGGTTTTTGTTTAATTTTCACCAAACTGTAACTTTCAGCTGTTCAATCATTAACACATACACAATTACTAGTAACGTTGGATACAATCCTTTTGCATTTTAATTGCATCAACCACCGTGAAGCCGTAAAAACTAATTACAAATAACATTATAAATAAAGCTAGCATATTTACATTATTATTGTTACGTCATATTAATCGTAATTTATATTTATTATTTACAAAAATATAATCACTAGTTGTCTTTCATCGTGGCTGGAATGTACATCTAGTTAAAATATTTACACACACTACGGTCTACCCATAGTGTTACATACATTCACTTTGGCATAATTCCTTGGATAAAACAACTAGAATTTTAAATTATTTAAAACAATCACACAACAGCACATATAAATATAAATTTAAAACATTTATATCGTTTCATGATGTTCACTTTAAAGCTTCAATCCTTAAGATCCAAGAAAAATACTTCATGATAAGCCTTTGAGGTAATTTTAAACTATAATAATTCATTAAAACAATGCTTAAAATTACTTACTGATTAGTTGATGTTTCAAGAACCTTCCGAAAAATTTCAAGCTATGGACATTTTGTGCCGCATTTAATACAATTCAGATTCAAAAATGTGTTTAAGTTACATCTAGGTTATGATTCGAATTCAGTATTAAAATCTTACTATATTTCAGAAATTTTTAAAACTTAAATATTTCTATGGATACAATCTGTTTACACTTCTCTAACTTATTTTAAAGCACGAATTTTTAATGTAAAGGTAAACTCGTCTACGGCAGTGCATCCTTAAGATTTAACTCAAACAATTTCATCTTAACTCTCGCCAGCTATTTAAAAATGAAAACAAAGACTTGGTCTCTTTATAACATTTTTAATAAAATCTTAATACCATAAAACTTCAGAGCTTTTAATAAAAACATAAGTTGATACTGTGTTTTTATTTACAACGTATTAATGAAATTCTTAAGCGTGCAAACTGCTCCACTTTAGTAACTGTCTATCGAGCTATGGAGAAAATGTCTTCCAGCAAATATTCCCCATTTCCGAAGGAAATCATAAAAGTTTAGCACTTACTACAATTTATACGAAGGAAGTTAGATTTGATATGCATTTTCGTAACTATGAAACTTTTACTTCGATTTTACATATACTCCATTAAACTATGAATCACAGTAAAGACTAGCATTTATATTATACAAAACTATCTATCAGATTTGAAATCTGACACGCGTGATGTTTTTTGCGCGGTTCGGATAGAACTTTTTAAATCGGAAGACACTATCGCGCTGCAAAATACATTACCCGTGCGAGCAAAGGGACGAAATCTAACAAGAATGTAAGTACAGTCTTTGAAATTATATTAAACAGTGACTTCTTCTGTAAAGCGGCTCTTATCGTCTAGGTTAATGACTATCGCGTGAGTCCTCGCGTGGCCGGAGCGCACTCCCCGCACGGTCTCAGCACTGCCCGGGCTCGTCTTCAGTTCACTAGTTTTCTCACTTTTATTATTAAAACCGTTATGGCTGGCCACCTCGGGCGGCCGTATATCACTACAGTTCGGTTCACCCGATATTTTGAACACACCGTTTTGTTTATCGTCTTTGGTTTCTTCGTTTAACTCCGCGCGTTTTTTAGGGGAATCGGTTGTGACGTCTGTTTGGCTTTGCTCTGTGTTGCTGGCTTCGACGCTTTTGGTGGGGCTGAAGGTTTTGTGCCTGTAGGCTGGGGGGGCTTCGAAGGGCATGTCTCGGCCGCTGCTGCTTGATTCTTCTGCTGGGGTCACAGTGCACATGAGACGGTCTGCCACTGCACTGAAGACTGTGTTAAGTTTTAAGGGAGCGGAGTGGTCTGATGTAGGAGGCTTACGGTCGTGGATAGCGGCGGCGTCTTGCATGGCCGTGATTCTTTTGGCCACCGCCACGCCGGTGCCACACCGTTCTCGAAGCTTCTCTAGCTGGTTGCAGATTTTTCTGAACTCCTCCTATTATAGAAAATAAGTGTTAGTAAATACCAGACTAACTACTGAAGGAGCTACGAGTATCTAATGTAAGAAAATATCGTCATCGTAAGTACAGCCAAGTTTAAAAACTTTCAGGGTTATTTTTTAATGTTGTTACGAGTATGGATCATGAATGCTATGCTTACAAGTTACCTGAAAAGGTATACTAAAACTTTTGCAGATGCCATTTAAAACTGTTCCAAGCAAACTTAAGCTCCGTTTACTACCTCCTTTTTACTGCTTGACATTACGGGGAAACCATTTCAGCAAATGTTCAGTTTGCAACAAGGCAAACATAAACGTGAGAATTTTTAATATTGCAATTTCTGACGAAAGCGCTCAATAATGCTTTAAGAGAAAACATTACTGTAGAAACTTTTCTTTTACAAACTTAATATTGCATAGTAAATTTTAGTTTTTATAATAGTGAAGAACCGAAGTTTAATCCATAGAATTTCTGAGCTTCTTTCTAAGCAATCTTTGGAGAAAAAACAAATAGTTGAACTGCTCGAGAAAATGCAGTGCCGTTAAAATGTGCTTCAGGTTAACACTTCGAAATTCTTTAACGGTGGAGAACTAGATCGTGGCAATCTCTTCAGCAAATAGTTGTGGTTATAGCCTTACTGTGGAAGTGTTATAATAGAACTGCTTGTGGCGAACTTTAGTCAGCAATATTTAATAAAAACTTAAACTAAACTTGGCAAATCTTTAAGTTTTCTTTTTTCTTGGCATTGGAAAAAGTCTCTTATTACTCACTAAGCGGTATTTGACTATAATGACATTTAGCTGGCGGCTACGACGTAGTTCATCCATCATTTTAGGGACCTCCCTTTACTATTTCCTCCTTTTCACTATTTGACATTAAGGGGGAAGAATTTATCTAATGTAATTTTGCTTGGACAAAAGCTTTTGTTTTCTTTGTTCTAATAAGTACCAAAGGTATCCTCATGAGATGTACCTAGGTAGTAATTCATGGATCTAAAATGTTATCTAGTGCTTCAATAATACATAATACATGTTGTAATGTAACAATGTTGGTAGACCTAATAAATAAATAAAATAAAAATAAATAATCATAATCATGTCCTAGGGAAGTTATTGCGAGGGATAACATTATATTGTTACAATTAATACGGGTTGTAACACAATATTTATTAAGCTTCAAATGAAACACGGAGACTCAGTAAAGCAATTAAATTGAAATACCCATCCGATTTAATTAAGAATTATTTATCTAGGGTTTTGTATAAATCAAAATCAAATCGTTCCATATAGATTACATTCATATCATTGTTGACTTATCCTCTTTAGCTAATTGGGATATCTTTGTAAAAGATTAACTGTACAATATTGAGTTACCTCCAGTTCCCTTTCAGTCATGTTGTCGCAAAACCGGGTGCTCCGGTTGGTCGTCATGGTGTAGGTAGATTCAGCCGGTCGGGACCGGAATTTTCCGGTTTTCTCCCGGTCGTCCTTGCCGTGGCCTTTGTAGACCATGTACGCCTGTAGAAAATGTTATAGAATTAGATAGAGGTAGATAAATAGATATATAGATACGGGACTATTCCCACCTCTCGTTCCCACTGCCGCAAGTCCTGTGTAGCCAGGATCTACAGCTTGACCAATATAAACCTAACCAGTTAAGGTCAAGTTTGTCCCGGGGAAACAGCAGACGCGCAACGAAATTAATCAGAAGAATAGAAAGATATACCTATGTACACTTTATTGAACATCCAACACACTTAAAAGAAATCTAAATATTACATAAAACATTTACACCTACTCACACCTACTCGTATATAATTGTTTATGAAAAGAACCAACCAAATAACTAGAGAGAATATTGTTCGAAGTTGGCAGTTTTTACTAGGATACTGTGCTATAACCTCTTAAATTGTCCCCTCAAATATGATAAATTATTCTGAGGTGACTTTGGTTTATTTTAAAACGAAAATATTTTTATCAAAATCGTATTCGTATCAGAAATTTAATTTGAACTTTAAATTAGATTTCGATACCTACGGCAGCACAGATGTAACTTATGAAAACTTTTTATGAAACACAAAATGTCTCAGAATTTATCACAAATAATTATGTACCTACTATAGGTATGTTTTATTAAAATAATAACGAGTATAACTAAAATTGTTAAATACATTCTGCTAAGCACTCAAATTTTTATTGTACATTAATTTTATTTTGATGCTAAAATTGTAATCATTATACCTACTCGTAATATTGAGGTTCTTAATATTGAGTCAATCTCAAGTATGTAATTGTGCTACTAACAAGCTGTAAGCTATACTTTTTAAATATGGATCATATTTAAGACATTTTAAGAGTCATTCTCGAAATACAAAGTCTCGAAAATAAGAAACGAATAAAAAATCTTTTAGCCTTTATGTTTCGTTTCTGAGGAAAGATTAATAATATCAATTTGGAGTAGGTCTGAAATTCTGAATTCGTCGTTTAATTTTCTCAACCAGGCCATTTAAACCTTTAATAATTTGGTATTGATACCATTTGGTTGAGCTTTTATTCGTTTTAGAATTCTTTATTGCTTGTAAATGGAGTAAACTGGAAATACATCAAAGGCTTTGCCACTTAAACTTAATAATAGATTCTGACTAGTTATTCATTGACAGCAACTTGTGAAAGGAGACCTGATCGAATGCTCTCTTACGACTGATTTATTCGATATTTTGCAGGAAATTGCATGCACTGGAAAACTTGAATATATTAGTTACCACTTATACCATTTATTGTTCCACTAGCGATCCGCCCCAGCTTTACACGGGTGCTAAGTATGCGTATAAACCTTACTCTTGAATCACTCTATCTATTAAAAAAACATCGCATCAAAATCCGTTGCGTTAGTTTTAAAGATACATAGGGACCGACAGACAGGAGGCGACGTTGTTTTATACAGTGTGAGTCACGTTAAAGTGCACATATGAAAATAGATGAAACTAGACCTATTTTTATCGACAAAAAAGAGGTCAAAAAATGTTTGAGATTTTTTTTAAATTTTTTATAGAATTTTTTTTCTTCCAATTACTTATTGTAAAGAAAACGTAATAACTTTTAAACTAAGCGGTATATCCTGATAAAATAAAAACAGTAATAATGCTAAATAACAGGAAATACTAAAAAAATACATAAAATACACAAAAAAAGACCAACAAATAATAAAAAAATGATACTTTTTGAAAAAAATCTGCTTAAAAATTCGTGTTTTTTTGGTTATTTGATAAATTTCTCCAAAAAATGCTCCTATAACCGGTGGTTTTTATTACTTTGTATTATTCTCTATCGTATAACCTTCGTAAAACCAAAAATCGCATGTCTCTATCCCTATCACAACGTTTGCAATGATCGTTTGAACTAAGCCCCACCGGGCGCGCCATTCAACGCTTCGTTAACAACAAAACTGAAAAAATCTCTAGATTTGTAATTTTGATAAAGACAAGTTGGATTTCAAATAAAAACAAAAGATTTCGAAGTAAAATAAGCATTTTAGTTAAAATTAAAATTGTCTCTACCTGTAGCGGAGAATAATGTTGTGGCAGGCCTTTGTTCAAACGATCATAGCAAATGTTGTGATAGGGATAGAGACATGCGATTTTTGGTTTTACGAAGGTAATACGATAGAGAATAATACAAAGTAATAAAAACGACCGGTTATAGGGGCATTTTTTGGAGAAAGGATGATGGGCACAAATGTATGGAAAGTGGTACCCGCTCCAATAGCCATAACCAATATATATTTTAAAAGGCCTTTAGATATAGGAAAATGTCTGCTATGGGGCCAGTTCTAATTCACGTTTTGAAAGCAGTAATTCCACTAAGTATTATAATGAAAGTATAACACAATCATCCATGTATACGAGTATGTATTATGACTACAATCTATTAATATAACTAAAAGAAGCATTGAAAAGGAAAGGATTATACCTACGATGAACTACCCAAGCTATTAGCCCTTTATTCGCTTTCATCATCATCATCATGATCATTTTAGCCATAGGACGTCCAGTTGAACATAGGCCTCCCCCAATGATTTCCACAATGGCCGGTTGGTGGCGGCCTGCATCCAGCGCCTTTCCGCTACCTTTATGAGGTCGTCGGTCCATCTTGTGGGTGGACTAATTGGGTCTTGTGGGTTTATTCGCTTTAGCAACTCATAATAAAACCCTTAAGAAGTAATAAAACTTTAACCCCTTTATTAATAAAAGTTACACCCTAGTTGAACTCTGGCTTAAATTGTCATTTGGTATGGAAATGTCATTTTAATCCAAGGTTCTTCCTATGTGTAACTTTTTATTAATAAGGGGGTAGTACTTCTTTAAATAAAAATATTTATTTAACAATTATCCTCATCAATAATTATAGAGTAGAGGAAGGATGCTGGAGCAGTAAACCCTTCCTGCCTCGCATAACCTAAGTACCATACGATGGACACGTATGATACTTCTTCTTCTTCTTCCTCGGTCCCTCACTGATGAGGATCGCGACCACAGATAGTGTTCCTCCACAGACTGCGGTCATAAGCTGTGTGGACCGCACGATGCAAACTCCCGCCCACCGTCTTCCTCACCGCGTCCGACCATCTCGTCGGTGCCCTGCCCCGAGCGCGTCCCTCTTCATACTGTATGATACTTAGGTTACACAAAAAGTATCTTTATCTTCGTACACAACCAGATCTGAGGCTGGTGGTCATAGTAAAAGTTGTTCATCTTGGTGAGACCTTTCAAACGATACTAGACACATATCTATTGGAGCCGGGTACCATTTTGCCCATTGTCCTTTAATAACCAAAAAAACACGAATTTAAAAGCAGATTTTTTTCAAAAACTATCTTTTTTTATTATTTATTGGCCTTTTTTGTGTATTTTATGTATTTTTTTAGTATCGCCTGTTATTTAGCATTATTACAATTTTTATTTTATACCGCTTAGTTTAAAAGTTATTACGTTTTCTTTACAATAAGTAATTGGAAGAAAAAAAATTCTATAAAAAATTTAAAAAAAATCTCAAACATTTTTTGACCTCTTTTTTGTCGATAAAAATAGGTCTAGTTTCATCTATTTTCATATGTGCACTTTAACGTGACTCACACTGTATTATGCAGTGATTATGACAGTCACCAATATAAAACCTATTGAGCTTATCACACTGAAACCTATATAACCTTCAGTTATTACACAAAAAAGTAACATGTGAGCTGAAAGTTTTACTTCCTCATAATCAAAGTTGAGTTATTAAAATGGCAAATAATTTGTAGTTAAGATGAATAACTTCAAAAAACTAATATACCTAATATCCTCTATGATACCAAAGAGATAGAGCCTACTTAGTCACAAAATTATGGTCGATGGTCTTTCCAAGCACAATTATTTTTGTGGAGCATAATTTCACAAAAAGTTGTTCCTCAACGAAAATAAACATTTGTCATTCACAACCCAAGCACAGAAACCCAAAATACAACTACGCATACAGACCACAAACCCGTATTCGGGAATCCAGCAAATAATTTATGCATCGTTGTAAGTGAATCTTCCGTGACGCAAAGCACTCAACCTTTTAGCCGCGTTTTTTGCATTTCTCGACCGAGCCGAGTCTCCACTCTACAACTGTACGAGTGAAACGTTTAGCCAGATGCCTTTTTGTGGCCTAAAAAGTCGCATTTATATACGGTTTCACGGAACTTTGTCACGTTCTTCCAATTTATAAAGTATTTTTGTAATGTTTTTTGGCTCCCACACCAGCGTTATAGACACGTTTCTGAATATTTTATTATAATGCTTGCGCTACTTAGTTTCACAACTAATGTATTTAAAAAGTATTAAGTAACCTTTTCCATCTTCTATATCTATAACAGGAAAAGGTCACTGATTGACTGACTCACTGACTCATCACGAAATCGAAACTACAAGTGCTATGAGTTTCAAAATTTGCATGGGGGTTTCTTTTAGAACGTAGGTGCTTACCAAGACGGGATTTTGCAAAATTAAACCCCTAAGGGGGTAAAACAGGATCCACGAGTACGAAGTCGCGGGCGGCCGCTAGTAAAATATAAGTGCTTAAAACTACCATCAAGTCGTACGCCTTATTCATCATGGTTATAAAAATATTCGCGTAATTTGCTTTCTGTACCAACTTGAAACTATAGCTCAAATGGATTGTCCAGCCATTAAACCTAGGGCAAGAGCACCAGAAATTCCAGAGCAGTGTTGATTACTTTACATTCCACATTGTTCTGAAACCTAATTCAAACCAAACTCCAGAACTAATTGGAACTAAACTTCATACCGGTTATCTTGTCGGTTCTGTTGTCACCTATATTACACTTTGAACTTAACATAACTAGGACTGTAAGGACTTCTGTATTACGGAACTTACGAGTATGTTTATATGTATTAATCTTCGTATTTACTTATATGGTTTGTATAGCCACATTTTTTCTGCATACAGGGTGTCCTAAATTAGCACGTCACACTGATACGGTAGGTAGCTTCGAACAAGCCTATAATTATGTCCGTAGATTATCTTATTTTAGTTATTTATGTCCATAAAAACGTTTGATGAGTTTTGAAATAATGATACAAGTATTATTTATTTTTAAAAATGGATTTAATAGACTTGTTCGATGCGCCTTAGGCTCATATTTTATAGAGGGGTACTTAGACTGTAAAGTATTTTTATTTTAAATAAGAATCCGGGTTATTAATGCAATTATAAGCCCTAGCAACCGTAAAACTGGTTCACGAAGACTATAAACCGGCTAAGATATTAGGGGCGTAAAAATCTTAAAGTCTTTATTGGGGGCTCTCTCAAATAGCAGCGTTAAATTTAGTTTTGTAGATCCTTCTTTACTAGCTTCTTTTATGTGCATTGATCACCAAGTTGCCTCATTTTTCAGTTGGAGAGATAGCAATGGTTGATAATTTTTCAATACTATGTTTGTCGCCATTTTTTTAAGACTTTCTTTAAAGTACAACCGATTTTTCTCATTAAACTTTGTTGCAAAATCTAAAATAAACAATAATAAATGCACTCAGAAAGCATTATTTAGTTTAGATACTGGCCATAAAGTTAATATACATAGCGGAATAGAGCAACAAAGGACTGAGCGAGCGAGATGTCACTAGCAGCAACACTGTGAGATAAAAAGAGATGTGTGATGTGACGTAACAAAACCGTTTTTTTTGCAACTATTTGACTGTTCGTTAGCACTCATTGGCACGCTGAAAGTTTGAGCTCAGAGAGTTTTTAGTGAGAAATGTGAAATAATTCTGACAACTGACACAAAACAATCCAGTGAATATCCTAAAATCGGTTTAGTTTGACAGCTCGCGTGGTTGTCGCTCTATTCCAAAGGAATATTAACTTTAAGATACTGGCGCTATTTTGTGTAAGTCCTGATTGAAAGTTAAAACATTCGTTTTTAATGTAAGATCTATCAAACTTGACCCTAAACGTAAACATAACGATTTAACTTCTCAGTTTCTCTACGATCTGATAAAACCTGCCGGCTAGTCGCTAAAAAAACCTTTCTTCTTAAATTTATCAAACCACGAAATACCTCGCTTCATTGATAACAAAACCCGTGGAAGCTGTATATTTATTCTATCCCCTTTCATTTATAAGGAAAAAAAGAGACCTCCATTAATAACGATTTCATGGTCTGTGCCTCAAAAACTTCGGTTCCCCGTTCCCCTTTTTCATTCATTTGTAACACTTCCTATGACAGATAAAGTAACACTAAAAGGTCTTTTGCATAAAGCTTTGGATTTGTATCTCCATTTATCCTTACAAACAACCCACGAAATTTTAAACCTTACTACATTGAGTTAAAAACATTGACATAACTTCTGAGCATTTCGGTTTGGGGACAGAAAAATTGAAACGCCTCCCTTTTCCTTATTGTAAAATAATGAATGTGGGTGTTGGTTTAGTTTTTTTTCTGAGGGCTTTTACTTTCAATCGTCTGTGAAATTGTACCGAAGTGGGTTTCAGTAACAAAGTTTGTCAAAATTGTGCTATCCAAAAATAGTAAAAATTACGGTACCATGCAAGAGGGCAAGCTTGCAGAAGATTGCAGAGGGAAACCTATATTAGGAGGAGTATAATAATGCCCGTTTTCACCATCAATCCCTAGTTTTTAAGTCACCCCTATGAAAACAAAATTCCTATTATTGTGTTACCAGCATTATACATAGGGGTCATTTAAAAAGTTTGTAACTTCTTCACATAAGAATTCCAACTTAAACAGTATCGCCCGTATTTACAAACATTACTAATGAGGTCTCAAAGTAAGCTTGGACTCTCGGTGCTCTCAATCACAGAGCTCTATTCAACGCTGTGCGTTCGGTTTGCTCCTTCACATAAGCCAGTATCGTTGATAAATACGGGCAGTATACACCATCTTGGGAGAGGGTTGTTTGTCTTACCACCTCGCTTCGACACCCTTACCGTGCCTACCTTACTGCCGAAGATAAAGCAGAGCAGAAGCGTGACCGTCAGCTGAGTATGGCAGAAGAATATGATGTACAGGAGATCCGGGTTCGCAGGGGACTGGAGGAACAACCTGTGGAGAGAAACCAGTGTTAAAGATAGTTTAAACATTATGGACCTTGATTCAAGGCAATAAAGTTGGAAAAATGTGGCAACTTTAGAAGCTTAGATGCAGCACATGTCCTGCCTGGTGGTCGAATGCGAAATAGTTACTATACTTCGCATGGAAAGTGTCAAATGCCGAGCAACGCGGACGAAAGCTTCTGGCAATCTACCGTATATGGATTTTTGAGGGTACCGCCAGGTTTAGGCTCTATCCTTCTGGCAGGGCACCTGACCTATAACGCTAACGGTGTGTATGTAATTGTATGTATTTTTCTGACGTATTTTTAGATAAGTAACAGTCATCAGTTTCTGATGCTCATTGCTCTATAGTGTAGTACATACATACCTAAAATTATATTCTCTGAAAAGGTACATTGATCTGGTCAACGTCATCAGAAAAGCCGCAAAAAAGTATACAAATTTTGAGTGACAGAACAAACATTTGCGATGCGGCTACGGCGCGGCTAAAAAATTTGATCTCGAAGCGTCGACGGTAACAAATGGTTCCCGTAATATTTATGGGCATTGACAATTTGATTTATTTTATGTAGAGCAAATACAGATTTAAAATGGGAAATAAAAATGGAAGGATATACTGGTGATATTTGACTTTGCTTCACGAATGTAGGTGCCGTATTGTTTGCTTAAATTCAAGGTAGCAAGTGCTTATAAAAGTTAGTCTGTTAAATCAGAAGGGAAAATACATACCACTTTGGGTATTAGTATTACTTCATCAAGCCGAAGACTAGGGTTTTATTTGACTGACTCTTAGAGACAATCTGACTGCCGACTGACCGAGTGGTATTTCGTTTCGTATCAGCCAAATTATGTCGTCCACTGCTGGATAAAGGCCTCCCCCAAAGATTTCCACAACAACCGACCGGTCCTCCGCTCCCCGTACATCCCGCGATCTTCACCAGATCATCGGTCCACCTAGTGGAGGCTTGCCCAAATTGCCCATACTAGCTCTTCTGGCCTGAGGTTGCCACTTGAGAACTGTTCCAACTGCCCCAACGGCCATCAGCTCTACAAGCTTTGTGCCGCTAGGCACTGCTATACTGCCACTTGAGTTTAGTAATTCTGCGGGCTAAGTAGATCCATTTGGTTTTCTTTCGCGCATACTTAATGGGTGACTGCGTGGTATGTTCGTTCATTGCTAAGCACTGCCGGATCATTGTCATCATAATTATTGTTGTTATTAAAATGATATGTCCATTTGATCTAAACCGCTATCGCAGGTTAAATGGATGGTTATTAATGAACATCAGACTAATGAAGCAAATTAGCGTGAATCAAAGCAATTTAGTGGACACTAATTTGGCAACTAACAAGCCTTTGGTATCATTATAATACTATCGTAATTAAATTATGAACTGATTGAGCTATTACTGGCAATTATGCTCTATGATATTTTCGATATGGTATGATATTGACCGGTAGCGATGGACATACCTAACACATTGTTATGAAATAATAATATTAAAGAATTTCATAACTTGTCGTCAAAACTGCATCAAAATATAAAGTAAGCTGTACTGAATTTGGTGCTAGTATCATAGGCAATATTTTCATTTAAATTAGTTTTCTTCTACAAATTGGTTTCGTTAGTTACAAATTAATATTGTGTGACATTACTTAAATAACTAACCCAACTTCAGCCTTTTAGTTCAGGAGGCTCATTATTTAAGTCTTGAAGTTATTCAACTTGAGGAATTTAAATAAGTTTTTAGTATCATAAGCAAACTCTTTTCTGACGACGAAGTTGCGCTGTTTAAATGCTCCAGGAATTTTAAAATTAAGGCACTGCGCCAACCTAAACTTTTGTCGCACGCGAGGCGGACTAAAAGAGCTTTTTCGGAAATTATTTTCATATGTTTGTTTAAACATAATATATTGTTCCCGGAGCTGGTCTCACAAGTTGAAGAGTGCTCTCGTGTTTTTGGTACTAAAATACTTTGGTGTGCTCGAAAAGTAAATTCATAGTTCATAGCTACATAAATACCTACAAGGAATTTATCTTTTCTTACATTTTATCCGGGTTTTGTTACCTGTATCATATCAATAAAAAATGTGCATAACAAGCAGCCTGTGACTATAGTATTGTAAATTTAGAATGCCTGATTTTTACAGATTAAGCCGTAAAAAAAGTTCTTAAGCAAATAAAACAATGCCGCCATCGGCACTAAACAAAAAGCTGGTACAAACCTTTTAAAAAAGTATTGATTTGAAAAATAAGTTGTTAAATACCTATACTACCATTATAAGTTCCATTTACCGTGTGGCCCCAGCTTTATGATGAAGAATTTTAAAACAAAGCGTTTTCACAGTATAAAGTCTTGCCAAAGTATGCGCCTCGCGCGACATAGTTCAGGGAACTATGCTGCCTTTTGCAGGTAGCCCGGGGATGGTAATTCCTGTAGTATGACGTCTAATGAGAATGAGCCTTAAAATTATAAAGCCGTACCAGCGCGTGGAGTGGCAGAATTTAAAGAGGTTTTGTAGTATAAACCTAATGTACCTAATACAAATTTGGATATCGCAAGGTACATGATAAGTAATTCGTCGGCCGTTTGGTGTAGGTAGTGCTTGGAAACATGCTACTATTCCGGAGGTAGCGGGTTCGATTCCCGCACAGTACAAACATTTGTGTGCATGAACATATTTGTTTGTATTGGACTGGGTGTTTTCTATGTATAATATGTATGTATTTACAAAAAAAAAAGTATTTAAGTATGTTTATATCCGCTGTCTAGTACCCATAGTACAAGCTTTGCTTAGTTTAGGACTAGAAGCGCAGTGTAAAATGTCCAAGGATATTTATTTTTATTACTTAATTCAGGAAGCGATCGTAAAAGTATATTTTGATAATGTCCAAAAGGAAAGTATTAGTGAATACTCCCGGGAAATAGAGTATCCAAGGATACAAAGTTTTTCCTGATTGCCCAAGAAAAACTATCAATTTTTTGCCGTCTCAAATGTATCGTACCCTACGATTACTTTTCGATAACTAATCAGCTGGTGCTGTAATAGACAAAGACGTAGTCAGTGTTTTGTTAATCATCATCATCATCTCAGCCATAGGACGTCCACTGCCGAACATATCCCTCCCCCAATGCTTTCCATGTTACCCGGTTGGTAGCGGCTTGCGTCCAGCGCTTTCCTGCTACCTTTATGATGTCGTCAGTCCACCTTGTGGGTGGGCTGCGTTTTCCGGTACGCGGCCTCCACTCCGTTTTGTTAATTACAGGAAATAATTATAAATAATTGAATACCTAACTGATTACGCAACAAAATTATTTGTGTTATCAATAATAATTTAAGATTGTTGCTCGGTAAATGATTAGTAAACTAGACTAGAATACTAACTTACCACAAATTATTATTTGGACCGGCTGCATGTGTTGCATTAGTTACCGGCTATCCGGGTTTACCGAATTTAACAACGGGTTAACTTGTTTGAATATATTGCAGTTGGTGACAGTATAGAACTGGTGTAACCATGTTGTAATTTGGTAGTGTTTAGTATCAGGTTAGGGTAACAAAATCTCTAGCTTCCTTGGTACAGGGCTCTTTCAAATAAGACGTATGCCGAACGTCAGTTCTAAGATTGCCAACAAACTGCACTGAAATAAAAATGACAATTTATTCATTTATTGCACATAAATAAGTACATCGTACCTATATTGTTAGGTGATATGTAAACATACAAATTATCCAAAGTTAGAGCCTTTTCAAATTAAGCGTTTTGAACAGGACGTCAGTTTTGCATTTACAAACACAGACAGGCAATAGCTTATTAAATCTATTTTTAATAGTTTATTGCCCGTTTTCACCATCAATCCCAACTTTTTAAGCGACCCCTATGGTAAAACATAACAGGAATGTTGTTAAATTTGCATAGGGGTCACTTAAAAAATTATGGATTGATAGTGAAAACGGGCATAAGTCAGCTTGAGGCTTCAGCGGCGATGCAACTACGTTCGCGTTGCTGCAATTTGCGGTTGCCCTAATTGCAGGGCAATAACGTAGGCTAGGGAGAACAGGCACACCACATAGTGTGACATAGTTTTCACCTTAAAATGTGACAACGTCCCTACGTACGAAATAGTTATTCTATACAAAATATCTATAAACCTAATGTAGAGACAGTACGTTTCTATAAAACAGAGCTTGAGTATAGGAATATTAGAATAAACAATAGGTATACATAATATCATGGGTTTAGAAACCTCATTCTGCCCGGTCGACAAAGGTAAATCACTTTGGTAAGTCAAAGTCTAGGATCTTTACCGACTCTCGGGAGCAGGCAGAATAACTACTGACCCCATGGTGTCGCTATACTACCCACAGCTTGCTATAAAACTAACCTATTACTACCTGTATGTTTCAAATCACACGATGAAAGCAGACTGGCCTGGCTGTTCCCTGCAAGCCTGTGGCTGCATGTTTCAACCATTGTTTCGCGGCTGGCGTACTAAATCACAAACTTGGGGAAGTTTAGTGGCCTGCAAGATTTATGCCCGCCACCAGATATGGTACAATTGAAATATTTCACTATAGAAGTGTGGACGAGTGGAAGGACTTGATGATTTATATCGAACGGAGTAAATAAGTTATTGTTTTGGTACCCTCGATATATTTTCACTTGTTCGGAAACACATTTTGTATTGTTTTACTGCAGAACTGTTGATTATAGTATGTTTTGAAAATGTGTGTTACAAGTTTGGTACTGTTGAGAAATATCAAAAATCTTAGTTTAATTGTATGTATTAGATAGAGACGAACTATTATTTATTATACAAAAAACGCGATGACTTTCATTGATGATGATGATGATGATGATGATGTTGACTTTCATTATCAGTATAGTCATCAAAATATATTTTATGTTCTAAATAACTTTGTGAACTTTATTGGATATTTCCCAAAATATACATGGTAAGTTAATTTTGAACAAAGTCTTGACTAGAAATCATACCTCAGACTCAATATTCGGCCTACGCAGAATAGTTGCGTTCAATAATTCTAACCAGAATAGAATTTCGGACCTTTCGGACGAACTAATCAAACTTTTAACACCGCCCTCATAAGGCTTGACGTGCTGGGGACGTGATACTCGTAAATAATTTACGTTAAATCAATGAATAATAAATGAACGAAAGAGGCAGACACTAAATAAATAAACAACTACCTTTTCCTGCGACTTAGACTTACCCTGTACTTTTCGGGAACACATTTCCGGGTATACACCTTGACAATACGAGTAATTAAACATTGTTAAAATAAAATATTATTAAACAAGTACCTAATTAAAGTTATTTCACATGTCTTATATCATGTGGATTGCTATTATTAACTCCACAATCGGGAATTTGACACCACTAACCGATAATTTCAAAACATAAACTATTTAACAGCACTTCAATCTAGCTCTAAATATAGAGTTGGTTTTCATTTAGCTATCTAATTTCATAATGTTGTATTACATAATAAATTTACTGTGAGCCTAGATAATAATATACTTCAGAGCCTTTCAAGTCAAAGTCAAAGTCAAAGTCAAAGTCAAAGTCAAAATTTCTTTATTTGTTTGGACTAATAAATAGTTCTTACAAATCGTCATTTTGCTCTTAAGGAGCCTCTACATGTCTCATAATCTTTTTACCCTACCAGCGCTTCGAGACCAACATTTGGCAAGTGCTGAGAAGAAGCGCCGCAACAAACTCAGCAAGCATCAATCTTCTCATATTCAACTTTAAATTAGGAATAAACTTCATCATGACCCGACACCTGTATTATGATCAAACAAACCGACGCTGTCAAATGAAAGCAATTTCAGCCTTGGTTTCGTAAATTTCGTTTATCGCTCGCATTTCAATGGTTTCATAATACCAGCCGGTCGGGCCCTCTTCATTTTGTTTGTAACGTCAAAACAAAGTCCGGGCATAATTATATCAATCTCCAGGCAATCTCTAATCCGGGTTATCCTATTAGGCAAATTGAAATTGGGCCCGCGGTTTGTAGCATTTTCGAATTTTCTGGAACCTCAAGGTTTTTACAAACTTTGATGGAGAGATAGTTCGGTTGTAAATGAAGAGGGTCGTGTATTTTTAAGGGCTCAGAATTAGGGATGTTTTGATGGGTATATGATACGTTTGGGCCAAGAGATAGTAGATTTAAATGCTGGGTGGGTAAAGACCGGCTGACCGTAAAATTTAATTCCCCACAAATTTTCTCGTGGAAAATTTTAAAGTGAAACGCAATAATGAACGATATTGAATCGTCTCAAGTTCTATTTTACATTTCTGTTAATTAATAAAATTGTTCTTTGAGCGGGGCAGTAAAATGTGTATTTTAACAATGAATACTAGAAGAATCGAGTATTTGCGGAATTTCCCTGTATGAGTAGACGACTTCTTGAAAAAAGCTCCAGTGATGGTGTGTAGGTGGCAAAAGGAGGTTTTCCTTTTGCCCATATCTTATTTAAAATCAAAATGACACTGGTCACACTGATATTCTTGGCGTCACTACGTCCTAATTACCCATTTTAAAGCATTTATTGGATCCAATTTGGCTCCATTTCTCTAGTTTGTAGACAACAATATTTTCTTTTACATCTTGAATAAGATGTTAGGCTACTTTTGCAAAACGTGAAATCTTTACTTAGAGTGAGAGCGGAAAATATTAAAAGGGATATATTTGCTTAGCAGCCTAACGATCTAATATTATAAATTGTTTATTTCTGTTTTTCTGAGAATCGTTTTCAGGAAATAAGGGAGAGTCCGCTAATTTGGACCAGTTTTTTTCAATCCCATTTTACTCATAGTTTTCTTTTGTTATTGCTAATGTCCATGGTATATAATAAAAGATACGTTATTCAACTTACTATTTCATAAGTATTAATTAACATGATTGTTGTATATTTAGCACAAATCAACAAAGTACGAGTTCAGAGCTTCGGTCCAATTTAGCCAACCGGTTCGATAATTTGTACCACAGGGTTACTAAATTGGATTTCAATAAATTTCAAGCCTATAAAAAAACTATGGCAAAATATTATACGATACATTCTTAACAAATTAGGAAACGAAAAGGAACAGTAGTTAATAACATAGACAATCGATATTGTTTTACACGTTATCACGATTTTGAGTACAAGTTTTGTAATTCCAATTATCGTAACGCACACTTGTACCTAATCTACTTTGCCAGTCTTTTGCTTTCATTTATTGTTAGTCAAACATAACTACGCTATTAAAACTTCAAAATATGATTTACTAAAAAAAAATTCAAAATCCTTTGGTACAGTTCCATACAACTTGATGTGGTACAATTTAGCCGACTAGGTGATAGTGCTTTTAAAAAATCGGTAAAAAATATAGCTTATAAATACCGAAAAATGTTTCAAATAATTGTAATCCACACTAATTTACGCTTCTAAATAATATATTAGAAACACCCTGTGATTAAATTTAACAAAATTACAAACTAAACATGTATTGTCAAAAGTTACTTGAAAACAATGAAAAAATACTTTTCAAAATAAAACACACGTGTTTGTTGTCACGGCAAAAACCACATGGCCGATATTAATTGATTTTAGTTGTGTATCGCTGAGTGTTGCAATTACAGACATTCAATAAATACTTTACGAAATATGAGGGTGGTACAATTTACCCGGCGGTACAATATACCGAACTCTCCCCTAATAATTTATTATTATTTTTTAGAAATACAGTACTACTACGCTTTTTTATCCTGTCAATTAAGAATAGGGTTAGGTAGTCTGATTGTGCGAGATAATATGTTTAGTTCAATTTCAGCTAACTATGACCAATTTGTATGAGTATAGATTTAAGGCACCACTTTAGGCGCTACGTTAACTATTTGTGTTTCAAACCAATCTATTAACTTAACTCTTATAGATAGTAATAGTTAACATCAGGTTCAGTAAATAAGAAAATACAACCCGGTCGAGTTAAGCGCGCACCTAGCAGCCGTGACGTCACATCGACGCTTTGATACGGACGGGGCGAACGCGAGGAGGTGTGCAAGTGGGAAAGTCAAAAGTCAAAGTCAAAATTTCTTTATTTGTTTGGACTAATAAATAGTTCTTACAAATCGTCATTTTGCTCTTAAGGAGCCTCTACATGTCTCATAATCTTTTTACCCTACCAGCGCTTCGAGACCAACATTTGGCAAGTGCTGAGAAGAAGCGCCGCAACAAACTCAGTCACCACTGTCTGCCGGTTAATATAAATAAATAGAAATAGTAGTAGTAGGTACATTCGATTCAGGAGCAGTTCACTGAATTTACCATGCATTCTTGTATGGTGTATCTTATAAGAATGGGTATACAAGATTGCGTGGTATATTAAACAAGGTAGTGACGTGCTAATATCTAGACTTACATATTAAGATACTAGTAGAAATGACTCGCATACATAAATTTGAATAACTTGGATTGACCAGTCCCCGAAAGCAGCGCCTGTTCACAGACATGACGAGTGAACCAGCCATCGCTTCACTCGACCATATTAGAGGGAATGTAACGACCCGCCTCACGGGAGGGAGAGTCGCATTCCAGCGAGGTGCGCAGTTGGCTCAATTGGGTTGTCATATACGCACTTGTCGGCCATTTGGTGTAGTGGTTCGAAACGGACTACTATGCCGAGAGGTCCCGGGTTCGATGTTGATGTTGGTTCGAGGTTCCCGGTCGATGATGTCCCGGGTATGATTCACTTTGGCTCTAATAAACTATTTCATAGTGAACAATATGGTTTTACCAAGGGTCGTTCCACCACCGATGCCGGGGTTGCACTACTTAAACATATCTTCGAGGCTTGGGAGAATTCTCAAAATGCACTAGGGGTCTTCTGTGATCTCTCAAAAGCTTTTGACTGCGTAGAACATCAAACGCTAATTCGCAAACTGCACTATCCTAGCGTGTGACGGAAATTCGTCTAAGGTGTCGGTATAAACTGCTGTATCTTTTGATCGCGTTAACTTAGAAGTTTGATGCTTTATGCCAAATTTCAAGATTCTGAGTTTACGGGAAGTATCCTGTAGGTTTTGATTCCTTTGCGAGTGTCGAAAATTTGTAGAAAATATCGACATAATCGGCTGTATCTTTTGATTGGCTGGGCTTAGAAGTTTGATATTTTCACAGCTTAAAGGGACAATAGACCTGAGTATTTTATGTGAATTTCAGCTTGATACGTTCACGCGTTCTTGAGATAAAAGGTCTTGACAGACGGACGGACGGACAACAAAGTGATCCTATAAGGGTTCCGTTTTTTCCTTTTGAGGTACGGAACCCTAAAAAGTATATAAGCAGTTAGATATCATGTTGATAGATGGCGTTTCATGGCAAGAATATTTACGAATATCAAAACAGTAGTTTGTCCAGCGCTGTAGATTTAACCAACCAACGACGATAGATGGCGCTATATAGACGTTTAATTTATTTATTGACATTTATTTGTCACATATCGTCATAATTATAGCCTATTGTTAATCTGGATTATAAACAATAATACTGTAAAGTTTCAACAAAATTCGTTCAGTAAGTAGTTTTTGCGTGAAAGAGTAACAAACATCCAGACATCATGATATCCAGACATCCAAGCTTTCGCCTTTAAAATAATAGTAGGATTATGTACTTACATAGATATATTGAGGAAGACAGAGAGTAGGAACTCGTTGTAAATGGCCATGGAGATGAACCGGCTCTCGTTGAACTCGGAAGGCGCTTTCCTCACCATGATGCAGAGCCGGATGCCCCACATTAGGAATATCACCTCCACTGTTAAAAGAAAGATTATACGTGAATGTATTGCATAATTAAAACCTAAGTTTACTCTCGCGACAACGTTTTCTACGTTTGTCTTATATTATGTCCAAAAAGTAAGTCATGTATTAATGTCATACACATTATTTTGCATCTTCATTCGCGGTCAATATTACCGTCTATGTAGGTATGGGTGTAATAGCTGAATGGTGATCAACTTTAGAAATCATAATCACTTCTGTAGCTGGACAAAAAATAGGCGCAGACCATCGATTTTTCGTCGGCCGATAGTTTAGTCGGGCAGTTGATCAGTATGGGCATGTATGGAAGTGCGCACATTACACCGATTTGATTTGGCCGATTCTTCATACAATTTAAAATCGGGCACAACTATCGTCCAACTAAAAATCGGTGGTCTGCGCCTAGTCAAATAGTCAATGGTCTGCGCATTGAAAGCTCAAAATAAGCACAGCTATTATTAATATTTATGTGGAGAGTGAGACCTATTCTATAGGTATTCCAAAATGACTCCATTTTTACATTATAATGAAAGAAATACCTGTTTAATTATCTACATTAGTTTATATTAGTTTTAAAAGAATATACTTTACACGATCTCATGATGGCCGTCTCTAAGTCTAACGACTGGAGCCAGTTCAGAACTCTCTAAAGAGTTTATTAGAATAAATTAATTTGATTAGCAATTTTGTTCTACTTGTTCCGTCATTACGGCAGAAGTTCCAAATAAACTTGCCTTGATTTCCAAGATCGTCAATCATCAAGATAAATACTTTTGACAATTAAATTTATTTGGCAAAAATCCCGCTTTTGGCGAATTTCTTAATTCCAAATCGTTCTTTGATTCATCATTAATTGTTACTGCGAGACTGTCTTTGTAATTTGTGGAATTTGACTTACGTTCCCCTAATTACTTCGTTTTCGGATTTGCTTGGCCGACATAAAGGTTACCTACCGCAGATTACCGAGTTAATATTTGAATTGTAAAAGATTTCAGATTTTATAAATACTCTGCCGTGATTCGATCGAATTGCGGAGCACATTATTTAGACAGTTGCAAGCCATTGTTTAAAGATCTTAACATATTGCCACTTCCATGCTTATACATCTTTGAGATGACAATGTTTGTCAAGAGATATACCCATTTATTTGAGACAAATAAAACTTATGGCTATAGAGGTAGGAAGGCAGACAACTTATCAATCCCACCTCAAAGATTGACACTGTATTCTAAAAACTGTTATTGTATGGCTATACGAATATTTAATAAATTACCAAACAATGTAAAAATGTTAACTTTTACCAAATTTAAAAGTGCAGTTTTTGACTTTCTGTAAATAAAATTAAAATGTATTAAACAGTGAATGACTTTTTAAATGATAGAATGATGTGACATCGGTAATGTAACTTAATTTGACATCTACAATAATTTAAATTTCTTTGACATTTGCAATTCAAATTTTGTTCCCTGACATGTATTTATTGTATTGTTACTTGTTACTGTCATGGTATATGAAAAACAACTATGAGTAAAATAAGTCTTTTGAGTTATAAAAATATGTAAAATCTAAGACTAAATGTAGCAATAATAATTTATTAACATAACTTTAAGAACAAGAACTTTTGCACGTCGCATGCGACAGAATATGCTGGAATTAACTAAATTAACACCAATCTGTAACCATGTTCTTGCAAATAATATTATTATGTTTGTACGCTTTGGAGCTCACGGGTCAAAAGTGGCCCGGTCCTTTATAAGGCTTGCGTGGGGATACAGATCCAATTATTATTATTATTTTCATTTTTGTCTTTTGGACTCTCGGAACTTGTTCCGGTGTTGAAAAAGAAGACCTCACGGGTTGTTAACCAAGTGATGGTCCTCTTGTAGGAATTATTATTATTATTATTAGAACTTAAGGTCATAGCAGACTTATGAACTCAGAAAGGGATCAAGTCCGTCAACAAGGAGGCGATACGTTTCCGTTACGGTGCGGATAAGTGTGCGATGCAGTATGGAGTTTCATACAAAGAATGCTGACCGCGTCGAGTTGATATGGTTACGATCCCTCTCTGGGTTGATAATTACTGTGCTACGTCCTTAAATTGCCATCTGCGGCTCTAGGATTGAATCGAGACTATATTGATGACAAGGATGCGTGGTCAGTTCAGTCTGCACATATTTGATGTACTTAAATTTGACTATTCTTACCGTTAGATAATTCCTGGCAATAAGTGGTGACTGAGTTTGTTCCGCTGGTAGGGCCCAAAAAATAAGGAGACATGTAAAGTGCCCCATAAGGGCTAACTTTTCTTTTTTTATTATTTTCTATTGACGTTCATAAGTGCCACTTGTGGTCTAAACTGAATAAATATTTTTGATTTTTGATTTTTTTTTTAATCCCTAAAAGTGTCATGCACTAAACACTCGTGCGACTATTATTATTATTGGTTTTTGGGCCTTTATTTGCGCCAGCTCGACCAGGTTTGATCTATTGTGGCAGCCCTTGTGTTTAGAGTTCACTGCTTAGTCCCGTTGAGTCTATAAATTTCCAGATTCTTTGGAGCGTGATATCTGCTATCTCATCCGGGTGCATGATGTGTCTCCCGAGATGGATACTTCTTTTGCTCATAAGCGGGCCGCATGACCAGACAACATGCATGGCCGTTTCTTCTTCTGTATGGCAGAATCTGCACAGAGATTCATCGGTCATGTTTCACACGTGCGATGGTGGATATAGTAAATTTACGTTTAGCTGTGTTTATTACTTAAAATGTGTTTCTATTTATCTATTCTACATTAGCTAGTTGCCTTAGTCTATGCCTGGTACCTAAATATCAGCTGTATTGTTTAATTAAATAGTAAATACGTTTAACAAGTCTCACATTTACCAAGAAGTAGACTCCTGTAAATATTCCCCGAAGCATGTAAGCTGATAAACGGGGATAAACAAAAGTTTTAATGAACTGTAGCTAGAACATAAGCACACCAAACACTAAGCACTGCCGCACACTAGTTGGTGCTAAAAGTTGTTGGTGCTTAGGCTGGGTTGCACCATCTTACTTTAACTTTTACAAACGTCAAAAATATGTCAAACTCCATACAAAATACGCCGGTTATCGTTATAGTTACCGTCAAAGTTAGGTGGCGCAACACAGCCTTAGTATTTTTTGTTTGTGAACGGAATCAAAAAGATGGAGATGCAGCCTGCAAGTATGAGACGAAATTAATTGTCATATAGATTACGCGCCGTGATTAAATCTTACCTTATTGATAATGATTTTAGACAATAAATCGTATAAAATCGACAAAATGGCTATATAAAAGCTTATCGCGGCACGCATCCTAGGCTAGGTTTTTAAATAGTTAAGTTCAAGTCAAAAGCGCAAAGATAAATGAAAAGTCACAATAGCAAATCGTCCAATCGTGATAATATTTAAAAATAAAAAAATGTTTCTTTTTAAGTATGACGTTTGAATAATTTAATATTTTATTTTATAATCTAGTTACCAGTTTCAATCGCCTTTTAAAAACGAGTTCTACGAATTATAATATTAATTTGTTATCTTCGTGAAGACCAAGACCTAAATTATTGCAATACGTGGAATCCCAGGAACTTTGAACAAGAGTATGATAAGTTGAAACATGTTCTCAGGCAAAATAAAACAGACTACATTTTAAAATGATGAAAGTTTCTGTTAATTTAATAATTAACTCACCACTATCAAACTCAAACACAATCCAAAGTGATTGATCGACAAACAATTCGGATCATCATATCTGGCCTGCCTCCCAAACTCGTCTGGCCACGGTGGAAAGTATAGGCAAAGTTCCACATTTTCCACTCCATATAAAAACACTGGTTATGATTATAGTTACGGTTAAAGTAAGGTGATGCAAGTCAGCCTTAAGGACGTAGCACATTTACCAACCCGGAAAGGGATCGTCCATACTGCATCGCACACTTATCCGCACCGAAACGTAAAACCAGAGTAAATACAAATAAGTAGGTCATCTTCATAGAAACGCACCGAGCGCGGTTTGTATGTGAGCGCGCCAATACGTATGCGCAACACCCCGCTAATCCACCCTAAATTTTGTCAGTGTGTGCGTGCGCGCCGCATACGTATTGGCGCGCTCACATACAAACCGAGCTCGGTGCGTTTCTATGAAGATGACCTACTCATTTGTATTTACTCTGGTAAACCGCCTCGCCTCGCGATGACATCTCGCGAAAGGCGATACGGTGTTGACAATATAAGCTTTAATGACGTCGTGATGATGTTGTGATGTTGATGTCTTGAGTAGCCAAGTTTACGACATGGCAAAAGTTTCACGTAGTATCAGTGGCCTGGCTTTTGTACTTTCACTATCCCAGCTGGCGGGATCGTACTCGCTAAACACTATTTAAACAATGCAAATATAATTATACGCTCATTAGCATCCGACTCACTTGTCCCGGTCCAATTAGCCAAATGAACTGTTATTTCTTCGCTAGGTGCTAATACAGCTGTGAAAAAGTTAAAAAGATGTGCGAGAAAAATAAAATATATTCTTAAAAGCTGCTCTGTGTTGTGTAAGCGCGAATTTGCTTGCTAATTGCTCTGTTTATGTTGCTTTAGTTTTTTATTTAAATTCTTTCTTAGAAGTTACTCCGCATGGTTCGTTTCCTTCACATCTTTGCTGGTAAATATTAAATATGAAGTCAACTTTGTTGAAAATCTGGTCTGAATAAGGAACGAACTCCTTGAAACAACATTATGTTATAACATGTAACTAAAGGAATGTAATGGGTCTATAAAATAACTTATCCTATGGGAACCTTTTCGACTTCTACGTGGACGAAGTTGTGGGCAAAAGCTAGTGGGACTATAAAAGTAATTAGTTTCGTAATGGAATTATGGAAGTCTATAAACACATTACCACTTAAAGCCACTACCAACTATGTCGCTTAAAATACAGAGCAGCGAGGCTCAACAAATATTCTTATTATTATGGCACAAAGACCGGTCCTGCACCGCCCGCGTCCAGTCCAGGCACCTCCCGCGACCTTCAACAGATCGTCGGTCCACCTAGTGGGAGGCCTGTCAACACTACGTCTTCCGGCACGTGGTCGCCACTCGAGAATTTTTCTGCCCCAGCCAGCCAGCTCTTCAAGCTATATGCCCCGCCCACTGCCACTTGATTTTAGCGATTCTGCGGGATATGTCAGTTTAATGCTGTTTTGTTCTGAAATTAAATACTTACAATGTGTAGCCAGGATCTACAGATTGACTGCCAATAAAAACCCAACCAGTGAAGGTCAAGTTTGTCCCGGTGGCAAGTTTAACTGTCATTGGACCCGCAAAGAAATAATCAGAAGAACAGGAGGAGTTTGAAGTTAAAGTTCGTCTCCTTCGACTTTTCCTCCAGTGCAAAGAGGATAATACGGCGGAATACTTACATGTAGTGAAAGAGTGGTCCCACCAATCAGTGTTGCACAGATACGCCTTAAGATCATCCTTCGTCCTGCCCACTATGACTGCCGGCGGCGCCACCAGCGTCCGTATCGCCAGAAGCACGCACGCCACGCCGACTATGACGCCGATCCGCCGGAGAAGGTACATGTCAGATATCTTGACAGCTTTGGCTGAACGCACTTGGAAGATCACTGATATCCTGGGAAAGAAATTGGAGTTAAAGGATTTTCATTCAGAACAAAGCAGGTATTCAAAAAAATACCTGGTGTTAAGTGAGATGCAGCTTTTGATGATACATGCCTGCCCTGTAAGTGCCTATTTACTTTCGCCTTGAAGAGGCCCAGATTTAATGGGCCTTATTACAAAAAAGTTAAACCCGGGACGAACTCTGGTTTAAAATGACATTTCCATACGAAATTTCAATTTCAACCAGGTTCAAACTGAGTCTAACTTTTTGTAATAAGGGGGAACATGTTTTGATTTAGGTGCCACGGTGATGCTAAAGGTGCCATAGTGTGGCAAGGGTGAAAAGTTTTATTGCGCATTTTTTGCAAGTATGCTTTACTGGCAAATCTTTGTAACCTGCTCTTAAGAGTGTAATAAGTACCTATAACTGCTTATAAATTAATGGACAACACGCATAAGTTGTAATATTAAGTTAAATTATGACTTAATTTAAAGTTTAGATCACACACATTACACTAGTTTTTATTTCACCTCAATCCGTCCAGTATTACCGAAGATAGAGCCTCGAGAAGTTTACGGACCTTTTAAAATTTTCAAAAAATTCCAATATTCGCGCGTGACGTCACAACATGATTTTGCAGCCCCCGCACGTTAACCCATTTACCACTTTTTGTCTTTTTCCAACTAAAATAAAATTTTACCTAACTGGCAACTGATGTTAGTTGTCATCGTTCAATCACATTTCAAACTAGGCGCTAAAAAAGTAACCATTATTATGCCACATTTATGCACCTAAAAAAAATATAAATTTTTTGGAAAAATAACCAAGTTTGTGTCTCTGCTCAAGAACAAGTAAATAGTCCAGTTATTTGTTAATTTTACTTGGAAAGTTTTCCGGAATTTTCGAAAATTGCTGAATAAATAGATTTTGAGGTATTTTTTGGGTGAGAGGCATAAGAACTAATGCCGTTTTATATCAAAAATTCATACTTAGAGGTACCTACTCAACCAGGTACAAAGTATTTCCTTGTATGTTAGTCTGCCACTCTTTAGTATCTCCCGATTTCCCCGCTTCGGCTCCCCTACTAACCATTCTAACCATTGTACACAGATAATATCTTACATGCAGCTTTTCATGTTACTACGTCACATTTTCAAAATCCGCGCGGAAAATCGCTCCTAGCGGAAGAGCGCACTTTGAGCTTGAATATTTCAGTCATTTTTAAAGATATCAAAAAAGTAAAAATATAGTATTCATTCTAATTTTTTGTAGTTTTTTTTGGCATCTTCAACAAAAATTGTGCGCCATGTCCATTACTTGGAACCTGATCGAAGAATTAAGGCGTGCGACGCATAATGATAAAAGTGATTTAGACAAACAAGTATTTTATAAGTGAATTGTTTGAACATAGTGGTTTGAATGTACCTAGAACTGCCTTCCTCGAAAAAGGCTGATGTCTCTTACTGATGAAACTGCTTTTAACGTCTGGTAAATAAAAATGAGGGTCTTATTTCTAAAGGGTATCTATTCTATTTTTATTTTTCATTATCCTTTTATGGATCATTCTTATCTAAAGCACCTATCTATTCCTAGCAACCCACTCAAAATATTAATAAAACATCAAATATAACCGCACAATCTATCCATTTGATGTCAAACTCGTGCGTCTCAAATACGGCGATCAAAGAAAATATTTTGTTTACCCTTACAGGAAAACAGGCATGTTTTGACAAGACGTGCCCACGATTTTGCTTGGGTAGTTGTTGTCATAATATTTGGATTACGTAGCATAGAATAGACCCCCTCCACTTGTCCGGGATTCCTCACCCCGCCATTAATTCTCATAGCTGAATGCTAAGTGCTAGGAAATTATTTAATGTTTCTCCGAATGAGAATAATGATGTTCCTCTATTGGAAGTCTTACGATGCATCCAGCTAAGAATGTTACCATTCTTATGTAGTAAATTGTGTAATATTATAAGAACTTAATTAATCTCATGTAGTCTGATGTGCAGATGACTGTACCTACCTACATTACTTCCTTTAAAATGCTTTTTAATTTTGCTGATGTTACTGACCATGGAAATACGGAACTATTCCTACCTCTCGTTCCCACCGCTGCAACTCCTGTGTAGTCAGGATCTACAGCTTGACCGCCATTAAAAACCCAACCAGTGAAGGTACGTAAGTTTGTCCCGGGGGACAGTAAAATTGTCATTGGACCCGCAAAAAAATTAATCAGAAGAACATAGGAGGATTTTGAAGTTAAGATTTTGTATACTAAAACTTTGGAGTGGGTCTGTAATATGCATGCTTACGATTACGATAAAATTACTTAATGTGACTAGAATTTGAAAACTAGAGAAACAGATTAGACACTTGAATGCGTGGGGTTTCATTGTTGTTGTCCGATTCAGTGTTGGTACTCTCTTGTTTGCCGCAGATCGTTTACAGTTGGTTCTGTAAGGTATCATGAAGTTCCATGTGGCCTTTGCGTTTTGTTGACACTTTCGCATTGTATCTGTAGGGTACGTACATTGCATGTTCATTTTATTAAACTAGGATAACGGTGTTGACTGTCCAATTAGTCTGTATATTTATTGAACTATCTTAAGAAAAAATATGTATTGTTCAGTTGTTTGTTTTCCTAAATAAATTAAAAAAAAAAAAAAAAAAAAAGATTCGACTTCTTTGACTATGAAAATGTCAATTTTGGCGACAATAATTACCACATTTTCACAGGAGTTACAGTAGTAATAATAATTGGGAATAAACCAAAAATACTGTTTACAAACTTCTGCCTTACCTCCAAGTCTTCAGCATCAAAGCACCATACGTCAGACAGAACCCGACCTCCCTCAACCAGACTCTGGCGGTGCAGGTCAGGACCGTCGGTCGTCCGTACATCACGAGGGTTGTGCAGTAGATTAACAAAGCCCCCAGCACTATGACCCTGAGTAGTGCGGGGCTGGCTGCTCGAACCACCTGGAAGATAGCCTTTGTTACAAACTGCTGCTGTCAAACCTATGTCGTCTGTTGAACATAGGCCTCCCCCAATGCTTTCCATGTCGCTCGGTTGGTAGCGGCCTGCGTACAGCGCTTTTCTGCTATTTTTATGATGTCGTCGGTCCACCTTGTGGGTGGACGTCCCACGCTGCGTTTTCCGGTACGCGGCCTCCACTCCAGAACCTTGCTGCCCCATCGGCCGTCAGTTCTGCACAAAACCTATGTAAGGTTTACTTATTTTATCACAGCTGCTTATTAGTGAGTTTACGTAGGTATCTGTGATGCAACCGCAAAAGGGTCAAATAGAAAGGTCATACGATGAATTCGTATTTTATTAGAAAAACATCGTGTAAAACCACTATTATCAGAGTGTATTTGTTTGGTTAGAACATTACAGCCCACGATTTAACACACTATAAATTTATACAATTTGCTAGACAACTATGATAACTAGTTAGTTCAGACAAAAGAAACAAGTTCTTTGTTACAACCCACACTATCAGAGGTAGATTACCTTTTCGAATTTCATGTACTAAATAAAATGAAAGTGAGAGTTATAAGAAATAAAATTAAATAGTCATTAAGTAGACTGAGCTAAATATGAAAGGAAGAAAAATAAACTAAATAAACATTGATTAATGAAACGTTTATTACTTTCTTGTTATTCAAGGTTGCACTATCTTAAAAATAGAAAAACAACGTTAATTGAACTTTGAATTAACCAGCTAGTTAATTTTCAGCGTTTAAGCTGTCAGAACATAGCTGCTAAAAAGAAACTAAATCAAAAGTATTTTGGCACGAACATTCTCGAGCAAGGGCACACAAAGATGTGGGACTAATTTCTTTTTGAGCGCACGCCGCAGACAGGCGAAGAGAACCGCAATGAGCTCGGAGTCTTTCAAATGAATTGAAGCAAATTAGTTTTTGGAATGCCTCGCAACGAAAAATAGCCCCTAATGAGTTGCCAAAAAGACGAACAAATACTTGTAAAGTAATACATTTTTTAAGTCTGAATTTCGCGAAGCTCTAAGCGGCAAATAAAATTTAAGCTGCTAATTAAATTTTAGCCGCAAGGCACTAAATTAAATTTTGGATTGCTAGTGAAAGAAATAGCGACCTTTTCGGCGAATCAAAAGTTCAGTTTTTTAAGGTACGAGTATAATATTTAATGTCGCCACAGCTAATTTTCAAAAAACGGACCACATTTCACGGATTCCTCAATACGTAATTATAAATGCCTTAAAAAAGATGACGTGCATCGTGACACGCTGCGGCATCGTATTGTGCTTTTTTTCTAACCCTTAAGGCATTTTAACCATAATTTATTTGTCAACTTACCCGTACATGCCCATACTTGATGGTGAAGTAGACAATAAAGGCAGGCACGATATGACCAGGCAAGCCAGCGCGAATATGGTCGACCGCACCCAGTTGAGCGCGGCTACGCAGGGAGAGCCATCCACGCACACCTCGCATCCTAGCTTGTGTCTTAGATCTTAAGTCCTTTAGGCTAGGCTTATTACAATGTCAACTTACCCGCACATGCCCATACTTGATGGTGAAGTAGACAATAAAAGGCAGGCACGATATGACCAGGCAGGCCAGTGCGAATATGGTCGACCGGACCACCCAGTTTAGCGCGGCTACACAAGGAGAGCCGTCCAGGCACGCTTCGCAGCCTTCCGCGCATGGTAGGCACTCGAAGGCGTCGGTAACCGAGTAGAGACTACGTTGGTGCTGGAATAAAGATCAAGATATAAAAACTTGTCGATAATTTAACAAACACAGAGTGATGCAAACACTTTTTTAACTTTTTATAAACTTTTTGGAGCTAATTTAGAATATAAAGATGTCTACGAGTAAAATGTAATTTTGTCTGTTATTCAATAAAAATTGTAAATTATACGAAGCATGTAAGTACGAGTAACTATGAGATCCAGAGAACGGGTTTAAATAAAGTTAAAAAATACAATATTACATATTTCGTATTAATGAAAATTTGGGATAATAAACAATGAACAATCGAGTTTGAAATAAACAAGATTTCCCACATTTCACTTGTTTATCTTAAGTGCGTTTGAGACAGCATTATTTTTCTAAGGCTGAGTTGCACCACCTAACTTTGGCCGTAACTTTAACGATAACCGGTGTTTTTTGTATGGAGTTTGACAGATTTCTGACGTTTGTCAAGGATAAAGTAAGATGGTGCAACCCAGCCTTAGATTGATACTGTTTTTCAATGCATTGTCTTCGTCACTTAAAAATTCGTTGATTGGCTGGGATATACCATCTAACTTTAACTTTAACAAAAGTCTGTCAAACTCCATACAAAAAACACCGGTTATAGGTATAGTCACGGTTAAAATATGGTGGTGCAACTCAATCTAAATGTACAAAAACAGCACTATAATAGCTGCAAAGATTTTCACTAAATGAAGTTATATTAATTACTTTCCTAAATAATCGACTGTAATTATTAAGAAACTTACCAATAAATGTTTCTCATACTCTTCTTCAATGTCGCTGCCGTTGTAATATCTGTTGTCAGCCGTCGTGTTGGGGAAGTAGAAACCCCTCTTGCACAGGCACCGGTAGGAACCCCGACGGAACCCCAGGCCCGGCACGGGGACACACTGAAAAGAAATACAATGTGAGACCAAGAACGATACCCTTCAAGTATCCGCGAATCGAGACACAATAGAAATCATTATTTGACATTAAGCCTAAGAGTAGGCGCACACCGTTGATTTTTCGTCGGCCGATAGTTTAGTCGGGCAGTTGATCAGTATGGGCACGTATGGGAGTGCGCACACTACGCCGATTCGATTTTGCCGATTCTTCATACAATTTAAAATCGGGCCCAACTATCGGCCAACTAAAAATCAACGGTGTGCGCCTACTCTTAGTTTGCTAATTTGTATGAAGAATCGGCCGATACCAAATCGGTGTAATGTGCGCACTTTCATAAATCTTCATACTCATTAACAGCCCGACTTCACTATCGGCCAACTAAGAGTAGGCGCACTCCGTTGATTTTTAGTTGGCCGATAGATGTGCCCGATTTTAAATTGTATGAATGAAGAATCGGCCAAATCGAATCGGCGTAGTGTGCGCACTCCCATACATGCCCATACTGATCAACTGCCCGACTAAACTATCGGCCGACGAAAAATCAACGGTGTGCGCCTACTCTAAAAGTCGGTGGTCTGCTAGGCTTTATTGTTACCGCGGTCTCATGCGACCGCAAGCACCCGCAAGGTTTGATGGGTTTAAATATTCTGATTTGCACTTCACAAAAAAAAATTTTGTTGCTGCATTTCGACTCAAATCCGGTATTTTGAAAATCATTATGCTACATCTATGTATAACCATAATACGACGAATTTAATTTCATTATCAACAATTCACATTTTAATCGGCTAAACAGTAATAGAAAATAAAATATAAAACAAAACTACCAAACGTGACGCCATTTTCCCGCCAAGAAAATGTATTGATTTTTATTTTATCCCGAGGAGCATTACGGTGATTTGAATTTGGAACGTCAAAACTACTAAAAAAGAAAGTAGTTTTTTTCTTTTCTGCGTCGAAAAAGGCAAAGGCATGATTACACATACAGCCAGTTATTGTATTAAGCATAATGTAACGTGATTTTTTGGAACGTCAATTCTGTATGAGATGCGACTTTGTTTATAGAAAGGAAAAAACTAAATGCTTACGGAAGCATTCATTGGTTCATTATTAGGAGGAAAAATAATTTGCTAGGAAAATTTTGAAGACATTAAATCCTCATAAATTTTCTTTCGCATCATGTTTTCAGACGGGACTCGGCCTTATCAGTAATCTTTTGTTTTTGTTGGCAGTCATTAATCCTGCGCCGCTGTCAATTAACGGTTGCTTATCAGCAGCTGTCAGCGGGAGTCGAATCTGAGATAATAACCGCTGGGAGGAAAAATGTAGCAGCGGAGTTTGTTTACTCTAATGAAATATAGGGGTTCCTTTAACGAAATTTTGATTTTAGCATTTATTTCTCAGATGTTTGTTTTCACGGTAGTGAGAGTTAAATACATAGATTAATAAAGCCTAGATAAGTAGATAGTAAGCGTACAAAAAGTGAGGCAACTTTTAGTGGACCATCCTGTCCACTTGAAACTTAATTGTTTTAATTATGTCTTTTTAAATAATTTTTAAATAACAAATAATAACATGTAGCGTCAGCGTATACTGAATTTGTTTATTAGACAAAACACAGTAGGTCGCGCGTCACGACTGACGCACATCTTATTAGTATAATAAGCAGTTAATAATTAATAAACTACGCTCTTGAAATTTCAATCGGTGATAACCGCTTGTGGAAGGCCGATTGAAATGTGCAATCACGGAGAATCACGTCGGGGTCACCAATTTGGCTCCTGAGCAGGGAGACGACAAATGAAACAGCTGGATGCGTGTGCGATAATCAAGAGCGTAGTTTATTAATTATTAACTGCTTATACAGTGTGAGTCACGTTAAAGTGTACATATGAAAATAGATGAAATTAGACCTATTTTTATCGACAAAAAAGAGGTCAAAATTTTTTTGAGATTTTTTTTTAATTTTTTATAGAATTTTTTTTCTTCCGATTACTTATTGTAAAGAAAACGTAATAACTTTTAAACTAAGCGGTATATCCTGATAAAATAAAAACAGTAATAATGCTAAATAACAGGCGATACTAAAAAATACATAAAATACACAAAAAATGCCAACAAATAATAAAAAAATGATACCTTTTGAAAAAAATCTGCTCAAAAATTCGTGTTTTTTTGGTTATTTGATAAATTTCTCCAAAAAATGCCCCTATAACAGGTGGTTTTTATTACTTTGTATTATTTTCTATCGTATTACCTTCGTAAAACCAAAAATCGCATGTCTCTACCCCTATCACAACGTTTGCAATGATCGTTTGAACTAAGCCTCTCCGGGCGCGCCATTCAACGCTTCGTTAAGAACGAAACTGAAAATGGCTCTAGATTTGTAATTTTGATAAAGACAAGTTAGATTTCAAATAAAAACAAAAGATTTCGAAGTAAAATAAGCATTTTAGTTAAAATTAAAATTGTCTCTACCTGTAGCGGAAAATAATGTTGTGGCCGGCCTTTGTTCAAACGATCACAGCAAATGTTGTGATAGAGATAGAGACATGCGAATTTTGGTTTTACAAAGATAATACGATAGAGAATAATACAAAGTAATAAAAACCACCTGTTATAGGGGCATTTTTTGGAGTAATTTATCAAATAACCAAAAAAACACGAATTTTAAGCAGATTTTTTTCAAAAAATATCATTTTTTATTATTTGTTGACATTTTTTGTGTATTTTATGTATTTTTTTAGTATCGCCTGTTATTTAGCATTATTACTGCTTTATTTTATCAAGATATACCGCTTAGTTTAAAAGTTATTACGTTTTCTTTACAATAAGTAATTGGAAGAAAAAAAATTCTATAAAAAAATAAAAAAAAATCTCAAAAAAAATTTGACCTCTTTTTTGTCGATAAAAATAGGTCTAGTTTCATCTATTTTCATATGTACACTTTAACGTGACTCACACTGTATACTAATAAGATGTGCGTCAGTCGTGACGCGCGACCTACTGTGTTTTGTCTAATAAACAAATGCAGTATACGCTGACGCTACAAACATTTTATTAAATGTGGATAAAAATCTCATATTTTCGAAAAAAAAATGTCATAATTTAAACATTTTCAACAACGTCTTGATAGTAAATTACAATATTTTTGCCTCATTTTTGACAAAGCGTTTGTAAAAGACTATGCATACCTACATCTGGGTTTTATTTTAAGGTTAAACATTAAATACTCGTAAGTATCACTAGGAAATAGCTTTATGAACTAAGCAAAAAACGATCAAACCCGTAATATTCAAAAACCAATTTAAATCTACGCATAAGATAATTATATGCGTAGATTTATATTTAAGTAGGTAGGTTAGGTACACTAAATAAAGGGCCCATGAAATTTTTATTTATAAGGGCTAAGCCAAAGGTTGTAACATCAATCATTATTATAATCAACATTATTGGTTTCCGCATGACTCCGATCCGTCAATGTAATTTATACCGTGCTGGGGACCCGTGAAATGAAGGATAAAATTTGAAATGCCCACTTATCGGCCGCGTATTAATAATATACCGTTTCTTTCTGCCCAATAAGTTGTATCAAGTGATCCAGAAATTAAACATTTCGGCTTTATTGGTTCTTATTTTACCTGTTCTTTACAAAAAGTTTATAATAATATTTTGTGAAGTGGGTGTTCAGAGATTATTGGTACAAGTTTGCCACAAATTATACAAAATCTGTTAACAAAAACATATATTTATTTATTTTTGCATACACAAAAAAGCGGTACAAATGGTGAACTTAATGTGGCATTCTCTACCAGCTGACCTTGGGTGAAACAGAGAACTTGAGTTAGATTGGCAACTAAGATGCAGCTAATTGGTCAAAAGATGCTATTTATAAAATGAGTCTATCAGTCTTCTTCTTCTATCGTATACAAAGCTTTCAGGTTGTTACAAAACTCGTGTCGCGGTATCTTACTTAATTAATTTAATACTCTGTAACTTTTTCTAACGCCCGTATTCACAAACATTACTATTAGGTCTCACAGTGCGCGTGGACGCACAGGGTGACACACGAACCAATCACAGAGCTCTATTCAACGCCGTGCGTTCGATTTCCTGCTTCACTTAAGCAAGCATTGTTTGTGAATAAGGGATGTAAGAGACCAGGATAGCAAACCTGAGTCAAGTTAAGTGGAACAATTTTCCCACCATTCATAACCGGATTGATTTATTCAAATCAACTCATTACTTACTCTTTACTGCCTGTCCAAATATTTACTCGAATTTAACATTTACAACAAGCAAAACCTCGGACAGACAGACAGACATATCGAAACTATAAGGGTTCCTTTCCTTGTCAGGACTACGGAACCCTACAAATGACTACAGTACAATCTGCAAACGATGTAGAATACTATCGACAATCGATATCCCCTCAACACTGTTTTTAATGTCTTTAGTTCTTCCACAGTTTTAGAGCTCAATAAATAGTTTATAACCGGATAATACCAGTTTATACTGGTTTCTTTGTACATTTTCGGGATTTTCCCTCGTGAAACGGATTATGTAAGGTATTACAGAAGCTTGGTACGTGGAAGCTTATGGAAGATTGGGGAAGATGAATTGTTATTCTTAAGGTGGTTTTTTGTCCACATTTTCTTATACATACAGCGACATACTTAGTTTGCCTTTTTATATAACAAGGCGGTAAATACCTGTACCGCAATCTGATGTTTACTGAGATGAAAAAAAAAGAAAGAAAAAAGAAAATGAAATATTTTATTCAGCGACACAAAACAGCATCAAAAATATTTAACAAAAGTAAAGAGAGTAGGTAATGTGCGTGTCACCGAAACGGTATCCACTCAGCATCATGTCGAGGTGTCGTAAGGGACACCACGACGCTGGTCTTCCGTGGATACTCGGAGGGCAAGAGGCACTGCTATAACACAGCAATACTACTCCGGTTGCAGTACAAGTAACACAGTTATCACTAAAGAACACA